ATAATAATGTTTTTATTATTATTATTAATATTATTATTATTATTATGTTCCACGAGTGCCAAAACGTAGGCATTAACATTAAGGTAGAGATGGTAAAAACGGATTAACAAACTCTTTATTATGTCGGTTTGTACTTGGTGACCACAAGTCCTGAATCCAAATGGAAGAAACAAAAGTGTGGTTATCAATCAGTCATAAACGCCCGGAATATGATAAGCCAATTGCACGCAATGCCAAAATAAACATAGCAATTTAGGAAACCTTTTTTGGCGTTCCCTGTTAACGAATATTATTAATACTAACACACGTTTAACTTCGTGGTTATGTCTGCAAGCGTACGCCTACTTTGTGTGGTTTTACTTTTCTTTGTAAATATAGTTTGATGGGAATGGTGTTGTAACACCGTAAAGATATATTTATTTACCAGCATTTCATTTCTCGGTTTTCCATAAATTAGAACTTAGTCTTAGGACATGGGCTTTATTTAAAAGATAAGTAAGGGTAAACTGTACATGGTACAGTGCCAGCGAATCAAATTCATTTGCGCCACGACATGTGTAATTAGGAGCTCGTCGGTTTTTAGGCCTGTGTAGCTTTTGATTCCATTTTAAATATTCTTCTTTGTCATGGTTTTGATGAAAACAATACCCTTGTATCTTGAGTAGAAGTCGAGAATACTGAAAGGGAAGGAGATTGGGGTCGCTTTCGTATCAGAGGTAGGATTAGCGAAAAATAGCCACCAAAGTTTGGGGACTTCCCAAGATTGAGTGTCCCTGAACACTGCAAATTTACGTGTATGTGCCATTGATCAACGTTTTCCCAGTAAAATCCACACAGAAAAGTGTTTTAAATAGACATAACAGGTTTTGAGCCTTAAAGAAATTGAATAAGATTGCACAACGAGCGAAAAAGATAATGTCGATTTCTTCGATTTTATTATTTTTGACTAGCGCTTGATTTCACCAGAATGCCCTCATTTCTTTAAGCTTCTGCCTAAAAAGGTGGGGGTAAGTCGGAGCAGTGTGCGGAGGGAAGGCGGAAGGAAAGGGGAGGGGGGGGTTGGCTTAAACTAAAACATAGAACGCCAAATATGTGCCAGACTGACTAAGCTATTTACACATAAAATAGGTTCAGATACTTTACATTTTTAGCCTTGAAAGAGTAGTCTGGTAGCACTACGTTCGTTTACACAATCATACAGCAGAAATAGTTCACTATTTTGCTTTCATTTTGACATTCTTGTATTTTCACCTGTCTGTCCGCCTTCTTGATTTTACGCCCCCAATAATTCAATAGCAAATCATAGAAACTAAAATTTCACGGATAACCATTTTCAGTTGCGTACGAATTTGTTTTTCATTTCTTTCTTTTCACAGACTATTTAATGTTGAACGCTGTCTATCAGAGACATGCTTTCTTCAAACGCACTCCTGGCATGTCAACACTTTTCTTGGTACCCTGTCTTTCTCTAAGACGACGTAACGTGCTGCTGCCATTTAGGCGCCCATTGTACATAATTTTTATTTTTCAGAAAACTTAGCAGCTTTGAGTATCAAGTACTTTTTTTTCTGAAAAAGAGATGTTTGAAAGTGTACTTCGGTCAAGAAAGTTTTTGAAAGTCTCACTATGTGCTATAACACTAGCTGGATAGACAGGTATTTTGATGATAAATAGTCCAGTTTGTAGGTATAGCTTTGTGTGCGTATGTGTCTGTGTCTGTGTTTGTGTGCATCAAAGATAGTAAATAACAAAATGGGCCACTCAGCCAAAAACGTGTCCGCAGGAAGTATGCTCTTTGCTTCAGATGGCGCTGCAGTCTGTTTTGAAGCTTTCTTTCGTTTTTCCAGAAGAAGAATAGGAATAGCACCTCCTTGCGTGCGCAGATCGACTGCTGTTCATCAGCGGTTTGGGTTCGTTCAGTCCGGAGTTTTAGGTTATGTATACTTTAATGACCTCTC